TCCGGTCGTGCCAAGGCAGGAGGGCAAGCTACACCAGAAGAAGTCAAAGCCCTGGACGCAACCAAGGAGGCTCTCTCAAATCCCGAAGAGAAAGGGAAGCAACATAAGCCAGATACTGCGCTACCTGGACCTGGTGGTGTGGCAGGTGATGGCTGCGGATGGAACAATGGTCGCATCACTGCTCTCATGAGTATTGACGTGGACCGGATTAACCTGGCTTGTGGCATGTTCCATATGATTTGGGCAGCACCCATCTCGATTATAGTGACACTCATCCTTCTCTTGGTCAACATTGGCTACAGTTGCTTGTCTGGGTACGCATTGCTGGTAATCGGAATGCCATTTTTGACTTTCGCCGTGCGATCCTTGATCAGCCGACGACGGAGTATCAACAAGATTACAGATCAGCGTGTATCTCTCACCCAAGAAATTCTGCAAGCTGTGCGCTTCGTGAAATACTTCGGTTGGGAGAGCAGTTTCCTCGGCCGTTTGAAAGAGATTCGCGGACGAGAAATTCGATCCATCCAGACCTTGCTTGCGATCCGAAACGGCATTCTTTGTGTGGCGATGTCGATTCCTGTTTTCGCCTCCATGCTGTCTTTCGTTACCTATGCACTATCACATCATGACTTGAACGCCGCACTGGTTTTCTCCTCATTGGCGTTGTTCAATTCCCTGCGGATGCCGTTGAACATGCTTCCAATGGTTATCGGTCAAGTGACTGATGCTTCAACTGCTTTTAGTCGAATCCAGGAGTTCCTGCTCGCCGAAGAACAAAATGAAGATATTGAGCGGGACGAGAACATGGAGAATGCAATCGAAATGGAACATGCTTCATTCACCTGGGAGCGCCTCCCGACAGACGAAAAGGATGCAGACAAAGCCAAGAAGAAGGCAGCTGCACGCCCTGAGCCATCAGGAAACTCAACACCAAAAGACGATAACACCGATGAAACTCCCACAGAGCCATTCAAACTCAAAGATATGACCTTTGAAGTTGGCCGACATGAACTGTTGGCCGTAATTGGAACAGTCGGTTGTGGCAAGAGTTCATTGCTCTCGGCTCTAGCGGGAGATATGCGTGTGACTGATGGTACTGTACGCCTGAGCACCACACGCGCATTCTGTCCTCAGTACGCCTGGATCCAAAACACCTCCGTGCGCAACAATATCCTGTTTGGGAAGGAGTATAATGAGACTTGGTATGAGCAAGTGATCGACGCATGCGCTCTGACCCCAGATCTCGAGATCCTACCAAATGGAGACCAGACCGAGATTGGAGAACGAGGTATCACAGTGTCTGGTGGACAGAAACAGCGATTGAATATCGCCCGGGCCATATATTTCGATGCGGAGCTGGTGCTCATGGATGATCCTTTGTCAGCTGTCGATGCACATGTCGGTCGTCACATCATGGACAAGGCAATCTGTGGTTTGCTCAAAGATCGCTGCCGAATCTTGGCGACACATCAACTCCATGTTCTCAGTCGATGTGATCGAATTATCGTTATGGACGAGGGACGGATCAGTGCGGTCGATACATTCGACAACCTCATGCGTGACAACGAGGTCTTCAAGCGGTTGATGTCTAGTTCTCGACAGGAGGATATGCAAGAGGAAGAGGTAGAGGCTGTGGGCGAAGTCGTGGATGAAATAGACGAAAAGGAGCCAAGTTTGAAGAAGGCCCCAGCAAAACCCGCCGCAGCTCTGATGCAGCAAGAAGAGAAGGCCACCGCATCCGTCGGCTGGAGTGTCTGGAAGGCATATATTCGAGCCTCCGGTAGTTATTTCAATGCTATCATGGTATTCATCTTGCTCGGCCTTACCAATGTCGCCAACATCTGGACTAGTTTGTGGCTGTCCTATTGGACTTCCGACAAGTACCCGGGGCTGTCGACCGGCCAATACATTGGAATCTACGCTGGACTGGGTGGCAGTGTTGTCGTCTTGATGTTCAGTTTCTCGACTTATATGACCACATGCGGTACTAATGCCAGCAAGACTATGCTTCAGCGTGCGATGTCTCGTGTTCTCCGCGCGCCTATGGCTTTCTTCGATACTACACCACTTGGACGAATCACCAACCGCTTCTCGAAGGATATCCAGGTGATGGATAATGAACTTTCCGATGCGATGCGTATCTATGCCCTGACCATGACTATGATTATCTCCGTGATGGTCTTGGTCATAGTGTTCTTCTATTATGTGAGTACCCTCTCTCTTGGAATTTTCTTGGTATTTTGATATTTGCTAACTCCTTTAGTTCGTCATCGCACTTGTCCCGCTATTCATACTGTTCATTCTAGCTTCGAACTATTACAGAGCATCCGCCCGCGAGATGAAGCGCCACGAGAGCGTCTTGCGCTCAATGGTGTATGCCAAGTTCGGCGAAGCCATCACCGGAATCGCGTGCATTCGAGCATATGGCGTAGAGAACCAATTCCGCCGCACCATCCGAGACTCGATCGATGTGATGAACGGGGCCTATTTCCTCACTTTCTCCAATCAACGTTGGCTTAGTGTCCGACTCGATGCTGTGGCGACCGTATTGGTCTTCGTGGTCGGTGTTCTGGTCGTCACTTCTCGGTTCAATGTGTCCCCCAGTATTTCTGGGTTGGTGCTGTCTTATATCTTGGCTATCGCACAGATGCTTCAATTCACAGTCCGTCAGTTGGCCGAGGTTGAGAACAACATGAACGCCACAGAGCGGGTTCACTTCTACGGTACTGAATTGGAAGAGGAGGCGCCTTTGCATCAGGCCGAGGTGCCAGCCAGCTGGCCTGACAAGGGCCACATCGAGTTCAACAGCGTGGAGATGCGCTACCGGGCTGTGCTTCCACTCGTCCTGCAGGGCCTCACCATGGATGTGCGGGGAGGCGAGCGCATTGGTATTGTCGGTCGCACCGGTGCCGGCAAATCGAGTATCATGTCCGCACTATTCCGTTTAACTGAACTATCAGGAGGTAGCGTCAAAATTGACGGCATCGACATTTCCACCGTCGGCCTCCACGACCTTCGATCCCGCCTTGCCATCATCCCCCAAGACCCAGCCTTATTCAAGGGCACGATCCGCTCGAACCTTGATCCGTTCAACGAGCACGATGACCTCGAACTATGGTCCGCGCTGCGCAAGGCGTACCTCATCGAACAAGAGCAAGAATCCGAAGACGAGAAACTGCCAAGTGGGCTAGCCAGCGGAACTACAACCCCAGTCACAGACAGTGACGTAAAAGCGCGCCCGACAAACAAACTCACTCTCGAATCCCCTGTCGACGACGAAGGTCTGAACTTTTCCCTAGGCCAGCGGCAATTGATGGCGCTCGCCCGTGCACTGGTCCGCGACGCACGTATCATCGTCTGCGACGAAGCTACCTCTTCCGTTGACTTCGAGACCGATCAGAAGATCCAGTACACTATGGCTCAGGGCTTCGAGGGGAAGACTTTGCTGTGTATTGCGCATCGCTTGCGCACGATCATCCACTACGATCGCATCTGCGTTATGGATAAGGGTCGGATCGCTGAGATGGATGCACCAGTTGCGCTGTGGGATAAGGCAGATGGCATCTTCCGGGCCATGTGTGAACGCAGTGGTATCACGCGCGAGGACATTCTCAGTACTGACTGAGATGGTTGACAATCTAAAAGTACATAATCTTCATACATTCTAGTTACATATCTTACCAAGGCACACCCAATGTGACTTTAATACATACTATCTTTCGAATTCAGCACCTATCAGATGAGGAGGGAAGGTACGGAGTATAGATAGGGAAAGAAGGAAGGAAGGAACATGTGCAATCAACCGGTAGTTATGGCAACTACCTATGCAAATACCAAACTCCACGCGAAGACTGTGACATGCTAGGTCTGCTCAAGTAGGAAAGAGTGCAATCAATTCAGAAACTAAGATGGAGAGGGAAAGAACAAGCAAGTCAAGCAAGTGCAAAGTGGGAAGCAGCCTGTTGATGCAACTCACTATGCAAACGTTTCAAACCTCAAACCTCTCGCTAGGCTATCTAACAAACAAACAAAGAAAGTAAACCAGTAAACAATACAAACAGGAAGCGAGCAAACAAAACAAAGATCCCAATGTGATGGCATGTGATGGCATGTGATGGCATGTGATCGCACACTCAGGACTCAGGACAGAGTCCAAATATCCACCATGGCATCAAATTCAAAGGAATTCAACTCGAGGACTCAAGAGTCAAGGAGTTGAGGTAGAGTAAGTATGTTTCAAAAATTCCCAAGCAAGCCGCGAGGCTCACTTGAAGCAGTCAAGGTGGTAGTTTTCAACTAGCAAAAACACGATCTCGGATGTCTCCTCACTGATACGTGTAAAGCCCTTGCACTAGGATGAAGAAGAAAGAAAAAAGAGAACCAATCTGCGGGGAGGACCAGGTATTTATATTTCCCCAGTGGCTTAAGGCAAGAGCAATCAAAGGGTTGGTGACGATCACGGACTATAGATATCCCGAAGCAAAAGTGGGCGGTGAATAGTTCTACATCGTCTATCACTCATGGGTGAATTCGTTTGCAGGACTTTGCTAAAGATTACGGTGTGCAGACCGCCTTTGGACTGTTTTGTGTTGTCTTATTGACTTACTTTTTCCTCACATAATTGATCCTAGAAGGTTTCATTACCCACTGGACCAAAGTAGTAAAAAGGTAAGGATCACAATTCAGCTCTTTGGTCAATGCAGAAGTGCATCTATCCGAGATAGAGGTTGTGGCGTTGGCTCCATACTCATATGCCATTGCATGTGCAATCAAGGTATTTAGACTTGTTGAAAGAAGTTGAAGCCTAGTGAGAGTGGCCTCATATCTCTTGGACACTTCTCTCGCGTCTTTTTTTCTTTTTTGGCATCTTTGATGTGTTTTAGAGTACCATGTCATACAACGTTTAAAAGATTCACTAGGCTCAAGAACCTTTATCCTGACCTCCAGACTTGGAGATCCATTGGAGGCTGGAGCATGAATGACCCTGATCTGCGAGGTTCATGCGTGGTCGAGACCCCAAGGTCGATATCTCGAGTTTTGGCCCGTGCCCTTCACGATTGCAGATTCTAGAAGTTGCAGCGAGCAAAGGGATCACCGAGCAGACGCAGCCATTGACCCAAGCTGAACTGTATGAGCGACGCACCAGCTTCCCACGATTTTGGACTAAGCCAAATGTCCCAGGTCAGCGGCTAAGGATGAACAAAGGCATCACAGCTTTAGAAGTAGCTGCTAGCCTGGGCTTTGAGGATCTCTTCGCGCTGGTTCGCGAAGCGGGGGCAGATGAGTCTGCCTGGATCAGCGTTTCCGGCCAAGCCAATTTCGATGATACTAAGCCATCGTCACTAAGCGTCACATCTCCTGTCCATGAAGCCATTGAAAATGGCCAACACGCTATGCTTGAACGGCTACTCAATACGTATCACTATTCTCCCAATTATCGGGCAATGGTAGCTCCCACAGTTGCTTTGCCGCCGCTTTCTTTTGCATTGGGTCGATGCGATCCAAATGATCCCAACATCAGGGCCTGTATCAAACATCTTCTTAGGCATCCGGATATCGATTTAAACCTCCGCACCCCTATCTTCGAAATTCATCCACTTCATTTGACAGTTGCTCGCCATGACCCTGAACTGCTATCTTTCCTTCCTATGCCGCTTTCCAGCGCAGGCACGACGGCTTTGGGTCATACATTGCTTCACATCTCCTCACTCCCACTCACCTCAATGTCTATGAACCGAGAAATCCCTGGTGCTGTGCGAAGTGTTCACTGCACCCGTACCCTAGACTCTAAGTGGCTTCTGCATTCACAACCCAGTCCGCTGCACTTGGAAACAACAGAGCAAGTGCCACACCGTTCTATCAACCCACCGACACCGATGACACCTGCTGAGCAGGATGCACAACTCAGCACTCTTCGCGTGCTTGCTGATGCGGAGATCGATGTACGCGCCCAGGATGTGGATGGAAACACTGCACTGCACTATCTTGCTACTGCCTTGGATGGCGATTATAGAGCCATGCAACTGCTACGAGAGATGGAGGGGGGCGAAGAGATTTACAATAACTGTAAGAATCGGGAGGACCTGACGCCCCGTGGGAAGCTTGCAACGAAGCGTGATACGGGCAGTTCATGCTCGGGTTCTCGTTACAGAGTAAGCCATGGCCAAGGATTAGGTCGTACTCCGAATTAAGAATCTACGCCTTTATCCGGCTAGTCTAGTCTCCTATCTTAATTAGGAGGGAAGCGTAACCGGCTGTATCGAGGCGTTCGCTATTAGTAATAGTAACTTCGAGGGGAATTCTAGGTTTATAAATCCGTATACTACCGTTTAGTCTCTCAATAACTTGCGGAGCGCCGAATGTATCGCTTAATCTACTATTAAGGAGTATACGTACTCGTACTAGGTCGATTTCTTTCACTAAATCATAAGTTCCATCACACCGGACCAGGAAGAACCTGCCATGCTATTCTGCAGAAGACAAGATCACTCCTTATCCAATTCACAAACCAATTCCATTCCCAAGTTTCGCATCATCCCCTCAACCCCAGCCTCCCTCCATCCAACAAGATCCCTCTCATCTAGCTCCACCTTCTCTTCCTCCTCCGACAACGTCCCAACAGGAAACCCAGTAAACTTGACCGGCAATGCAGGCGCCGTGCCAACAACCCTCATGTGCAAGCCGGTCAAGATACCACGCAGATGATCCGCCGCCTTCCCACCACCCCGCCCTCCATACGAAATAATCCCCGCCGGCTTCCCCTTCCACTCGAAGTAGAGATAATCGAGCGCGTTCTTCAGACTCGCAGGGATACTCCAGTTATACTGCGGCGTGACGAAGATGAAAGCATCGTACTGGCGCACCACCGCGGACCACGCCCGCGTGTGCTCTTTGCTGTAGTGCGGGGTAGGGTCTTCGGCTGGCAGCCCGGCGGGGATGACAGATTCGTCGTAGAGGGGTAGCGATTGCTTTGCTAAGTCGAGGATTTCGAAGGTTATGTGGCGCGGGTCTGTGTCGGTTGCTTTGCTGTGGTTTGTTGGGATTGTCGGGTCGGAGATGAGGACGTCATAGACGTACTGCGTTATCGTGGGGTTGAGCCGGGGGCTGCGGGTGCTGCTGGTGACGATCGCGACACGTTTGGGAGGCATTTTGAGTATATGAATAGGAGCTTCTGGGAGATAGGTGCGAGTTGGATGATTGTTATAAAAGAAGTTGGAGCCTATAGTTTCATAGGAGCCTATAATTTCGTGGGGGCCTATTTTCACGGTTGCGGACATAACGGAAGTCAAGTCGGAGATTAGAAACCTAGAAAGCTTCAATTTTCTATATTTGTTTTTTACCTTTAGGTACTACTGGAATAAATCAGAATAGACTATGGCGGTTTCTTCTTTTTGGATAAAGATATAACATAATAGTGGGAAACACTGGAAAGCCACTGTCATTCTGGACTTTGAATAAAACAATCCAAGGCTCAACAGCATCTGTCTAAGGCACGGGATTACTGGCGCCTATATCCGTCTTGTTTGATCCCATGATCCATGACTATATATATACCCAATAATCAAGCACAGGACATGAAGCAATGAGTCTGGCCCTGCGTGCCTATCTCTTCCAAAGCGGGATCCGGTTTCCGCAGCCAATTAGCCAACATGTTGGTACAATGATCGACATGCTCTAGATCCCCAAGCATATTGTCCAGACGATCCCCACGCATGTGGACATCGTGGCCTCGACGAAGGAGATACAGACAATGGACCAGATGCTCACGGACAGCAGTCCAGTAGAAGTCCGGGTTATTTCCGAGTTCGGTGTAATCCTTCATTTGCTGTGTGGCAGCCTCATCATAGAAATATACAAAGGGCTTTCCGTTGTTGAAATGCGTAAACTCGTGCGTGAAGTCATGCGGACATTCTTTGTGCAGCCAGCAGCCAGCAAGAGGGTCGTAGGCGCAGCCGAGCGCTTCGGCTTCCTTGGTTGAGTTGCCGCATGAGTATCTTACTCGTGGAGCTGGTGGCAGGCACTGTCTCTGGCCTTCGAGTGATTCGGGGTATGCGAGCGAGTCAGAGGGTGGCCGTTTTACGACAATGACCTTGCGGAAGGGCTCCACGGCGATGGCTGTGATTACGGCGATCACCAGGAGTAAGAGGATCGTCAGCAGTCCGGTTATGGTGATTGCAGCGAAGTTTCGTTTTAAAAACTGCTGTAGGCCCCGGCGGGACGGTCTGTTCGTGATGGTGACATCGCTGTCGCCATCGGCATCTGCTTTGGGGATGGGGTTGTAGTCGCGAGAGAAGACCTTGTCCATCATGACAGAATTAACGAGTGACGATGTGCAAATTTTCCGTGGGATCGAAGAGAAGAGAAAGCTCTCGTTTCCGGGGGAGAATTCCAGTGGTGCACATGATGTTTATTGAGACTTGTTGTAGTCTTATTCATGTCAGAATCGGGACAAAGAGTAGATGAACAGGCGAATTTTATAGATGGCCCGGTCCAGGTATCAATAAGACTCAAAGAATCAAACCAGTGATAGATTGAGTATTGAATAGAGGCTATGTCCGAATGAAGAGTGCAATAGGAAAGACTAATGAAAAATGGTTGGTCCTAAACAAAGAAACCCTCGAGACCCGGGCAACGCCACTTTCAAAGGCGTCTGCTGCTCATATTCTCCTGTACATTAAAGAACGGTTCATATCTTTTATTCTGTCAAGAATGGGATATGGCCCCTCTAGGCCCTAAACAAGAACCTTGGTTTTTGTTATGGTCTAGTGGTAAATTACGCTGTACGAAATTCGACGTATTCGAATGTATTGTTGGAGGTATATATGTATAACCAAATTTATTTGCGAAACTGAACTGTATTCAAATATATCAACAAATCCACTTAAGGCATATTCACAACAAAATGCGATTTACAACAAGAATGAAAAGACATATGTACGAAGCTGGCACAAAGCCGACTCCAGACTCTAGATCTGGCACCAATCTAGACAACGAAGACAGTCTGGTTGAAAGACTCCAAGAACGCGGAAGGACCGGCCTGCAATTCAACGATTAGCATGCTTGAATTCCTTTCAATGTAAGAGATCTACTTACACCAATCAGAGCCGCATGGGCGACATTAATCTGGCTTTTGCCAACGGTAGCCGAAGCCGGCACAGTGATCGTAAAGTTCTCATACGGCGGCAAGTAGGTCTCGTGGTACACGGGGCTGAAAGGCCCGTTGTATAGAATTGTTCCAAGAATATCCTCTGCGCTCCTGCAAGGTGCGGATGCACACGAGGAGAGGCCGATCGCTATGCCCACCTCCGTGGACCCACTTAGAGAGTTCTGGATGATCAATCAGTAAAACGGATTTCTGTGATGAAGTCACTCTGGAACTTACAGGACGCTGCACTTGGACGACGACTTCCGTGCCGGGATTGATTTCCTGGTTCTCAGTGGGGAGTCCGATGGTGGCACTCTGAGCAATGGCCGCGGCGATGAAGAGAGTAATGGAGAAGAAGGACTTCATTTTGATGGAGATATAGAATTTGCTGATAAGATGATAAGATGGTATAAAATGATCTATTGTATGGAGAGTTACTCTGTAGAAAATGCGATGATTCTGGGGTATTTATGTGCTCGAAATCTAGGTGAAGGGCCAGCCCGAGTAGCCACCCCTGGAATTCTAAAAGTATCAAAGACGTTGATTGGCCGAGTCTCTGCAAGTTTCAAATATATCCCATAGTTAGTTCACGGAAGCCACGGACAGCCTGACGCTAAGGTCAATCGGGAAACTAAACTGGAAATCTCCCTTGCATAGGTATTGAAATAAGCAACCTGACTGGGTCTCACTTGATGTCAACGCATTCAGGCTTGATTTCAAACCTGTCCTCTATATTATTGGTGATGTTTTAAGGGTTGAGGACATGCGGTGTACTGGCTGTCTCACACGGGCCCATGATATTTCTTAAGCCAAAGTGGTGACGAGAGATCAGCGTCTACTCCGTAAAACATAGCGCATCAAATCATTAGTTAGCTGGTCTTTATATACAACTCCAGGAATAGACTAGTCTCCAACGCAGATAGATGAGGTCAGACTGTTTGTTCAGCCTCAACCCAAGGCTGAGTAGAGCAAACCTTACAGGACAAACGGGCCAAAATTAGCATATTCAAGGTGGGACGATACATTTGGTAGCGATCATTGAATCAAACACATGGGATGGGCTCGTTGTAATTGATTGACTGTCGTGCTTTCCAATTATCCCCAGTTTTTCCTGCTTCCTATATTTAGATCGCGGTGTTCAGTTCGTATCCGACATCCGCGTGGTTGGGTTGAGATGCATATAAGCCTTCTTAGAGGGCTATTGAACATTATCACATTGGCTATTGTTATGTAAAGTACGATTTAACTCTTCCATTATTGATTATCCCCCTTTTAATTCATCAAATAGTGGCAAAAAGTGGTAAAATCCATGGATAGCAGTATTTTGCCCACAATATCCTCAGATCTGCAGGGGCCAAGTGACGTCTTCGCCCCGGGTCCCCAACTCAGCTGAAAACCAGAATATATCTGTACTTTCTAATGATCCTATTGTTTGACTTGTACGAAAATGATTCTGCCAACTATTCGCCATTCCTGGAACATCTTCTAACACACTTTCACCAGATCAAAATGAGGAAATTCACTCCCCGGAGAGCTCATTATATTGCCAAGTCGATATTGAGAGACCCGCTCCCCTCAAGCGGGCCATGGCGTGTCATTCACGAACGTCCACCACGTGAGCATGATCTCCTCGAAACTACTGTATCCAGAAGCGGATCAGGAAGACGAGTGGATGCTTCAAATAGATGGAGACTCGATTAGCTCTCATTTCTAGTGACAGTCAGTTGTATTGCCGGATTAGGTAAACGCTGTGAAAGATATCACAAAGAGACAGTCTCCCTCGTCAGAGAGGTGGATCTATGTCGGAACAGGTGACATATATGCATTTGTGACTGTTCTTCTTTCTCAACTCCATAATCTACGGTCGCTGCAACTTGATTACGGGATGATGGGACATGTTCTTCTTTCTACACCTAGGAATACATTATCTCCCTCGGCTTTCTAGATCTCTCCGTTGTCGAATACGGTCTGTTTGTTCTAGGTGCTAGAAGGTTTAACGAAACAAGACGCGATCTCATCGATGTATCCCTCATTTATAACCTAGATCAACACACAGGCTAGTTCTATCTACCTTCTTTAATACCCGGAAATCTAGCTCCACATTTCCGAGGTGTCGCTAAGGAGTTATCCAAACCTACTGGATCAGGTAGGCTAGCGCATCTGGTCCAGCTTAAGGGACTTGCATTGACGGAATCCTCTGTTGGGGAGGATGAGGTCAGAAATACCTGTCATTGCTGGAAGTGTTCACCTGGCCTTATTGCACCTTATGTATCTAAGAAGCAAAAATGCATGGAAAAGGACTACACTAAGCAATTTAACATCGAACGATTTATGTAGACTTAGTCTTCCACAATATGCCATGCAAGTGTCATACCCAAGATAGTATACCTGTTGTTGTTCTAGAGATTTTTCTTTTAGATTCAACAAGTAAGATGCATTTAGCTTTCCTATAGCTGAATTAATATACCATCTTAATAAGTAAGTTTTGAAATTATATTGCCGACGTATCATACTAGACGCACAAAAATGAAGAAAATTTCTTAACCGAACTAACCGACCACACCACACAAATTTTGACTATAAAACTTCACCAACTAGACCAAAAAGCAAGTGCTATATGAACAAAAAGCAAAAAGTTATGATAAGAGTGGGATTTGAACCCACGCCTCTTGCGAGACCAGGAAACTATTGCTAGTTGTGGAGTCAAGGTAAACCTTAACCTGGCGCCTTAGACCAACTCGGCCATCTTACCAATTGATGAAAACATACTCGTTTTAGAGCTCTATCAACGAAGGGTGGATAAGACGTGGACAGATATGTACGAATGGAGAAGGGAGGAGAAAAAATATTAGAAGAAAGACAATGGAATAGATGTTAAACAGACAATGATGAAATACATGAAAGGGATATAGTGAACCGAGGAGAGATGGATGGTAAAAGCTATTCTGAGAGCAGGATATATAGAAAAGCGCATACATACTAAAGCAGGCATGGTAGATCGGAAGCTGCAAACTACACTAGAGATAAAATAGCTTTAGAATGAAAGACATTCTCATAAATCAAGTGCAAAGTACAAGGCAGAAAAGTTAAGGAAGAGGTGCAAGAAGTGAATTAGTCTGGCTGCTGTAGCAGATCCATCAGGCATTCATGGGGCGTGAAAGGTGGTGATGTTCAAAACATCTGCAACGGAAGGAGAGAACATCTTGGCAGGAAAATGTCAACAGTGAACATGAAAAATGAAAGAATAAAAGACTGATCACAGATCCCACTCAAGAAAACAAAGAGCTGTAGCCTCCTCACGACAAGAACACTAGAAATTAAATCTCACCTGATAGCCAGTTACCTCTCTGACAGAACATGTCAATCATAGCCGCCTCCTTTTTCGGCCCCAAGAGCTGCTGCCATCGGCGCCCGCTTTCGCCTCCACTTTCTCTTACGCTTCGTGTTCTGCGGGTTTCGGAAACATTCCTCAATGGGATGCATTGTGAGACGCTGGTGAAAGGGACAGTAATGCTTGGCGAAATTTTCAATTTGATACACGTTAGCGACATCAGTACCTAGGTTACCTAAGGGCGACTGTTGGTTTCCTAGTCGGTAGGCCTCAAACTCCAGGAAATCGGCGAAGGCTTCATCTAGTATGGATGTCGGCAGAAACCCTTTCTCAAACTGGAGCGACTCAACCCATGGAATGGTATCGGGGTTTACACTGACCGCAGCAAGGAATTGGTTGAGGATGAAGATCGTGGGAAGATATGGGGGTCCAAAGGCCTGCTTCATCTCTTTGAGGGCTCGTTGCCATGCTTGCACAAAGTTTTCGGGCGACTTTGATGGATAGTAAACCGTATGTATCCAGTCCATGAATTTGCGATGAGCAGCAAGGCACTCGCGGGGTTTGTTCTCCGGGATCTCGCCGGGGAAGGAAGCTGAGTTTGGGTCAGTATAAGTAATGTTCAAAGGAGGGCAAGGAATTGAGGGCGAGAAAAAAAGGTACTCACCATACGAGGGGAGAGGGAGATAGGGAAAAGAAGCAGGCACAAATGGCTGTAAGTCAATTGGTTGAAGACTGAGGTAATAACCAAACTGCGAATGAACCACCGGCCAGCCATCCACCATTCGGGGGGCAGAAGAGGGCTCGATCATTTGGTGTGGAAGAGTGGGCCCAAGCAGAACAGGGTAAATTGGCGGCGGTTTGCAAGGGCCGTAAGCAACAGGAATAGGGTCAACGGACGGAGTACCGAAGTACCCAAGAACGAACTGAGCTGGAGCTGGAGCTGGAGCGACTGGAGCCAGGTTGAAGTAAACGGGCTCGCCCTGGAATCTAGATCCTGGATCTTCTGCGTCGGGGACGAACATTTTGACTTCGCTGAGTGTATTTGTGCGTGAATTGGTCTTGATTTTGTCATCAGTTCAGGGGATTTCGTCTTGTGTATGACGGAGCAAAGATAAGACGTGGATTGAATGTCAAAAGGAATATGTCTGGGGTGTTAGCAAGTTGTAAGCTGTACGAGTAGATGTGAATAAGTTGCCAAAGATAGGTTGGACGATTGAGATACATGCTGTGTTGATGCATAGATAGATGCTTAGTTGGATCAGAAGCTTGATGGATGATGACAAGGAAAGGTTGATGCCTACTGTCAAGTTCGCCTTTATATGTAGCCAAATGCATTACAGGCTAGTGTAATTGAATCAAGTTAAAGGTCTTTGATTATTAAGTCAGTGAGTTTACATTCAGCCCTGATAGACGACTCTAAGAGCTCCGAGGGACAAAAGCTGACCCTTCTAAGACAAGATAATGACAGCCAAAGTTATAATTCGGGTATAGTTTAGAGAGAAGTAAGATGAATCTTAGATAACCCGTTAGTATTGAACATTCATTTCTAACATAATCTGACTATGGTTGCGAACAATTAAGCCCTAAGTATACGCAAAACTCTTCACCGCGCCGTAGAGAGGAATGTGACGTCTTCTCATGCCACCTCCAATCTGGGCAGATTCAATCCTGAGATCAAAAAATGCGGGGCTACTAATCTTCACTGACAAACAGACATCTTCCGTTCAATTTTATCTAGTTCATTTTCGTATGCTCCCCCAGCTCGTTTAACAATGGGCCGGTGCTGAGCGAGGGTCCTAGCACAACTGCGTGTCGGATTCTCTGGTTATCCAGCTCTAACAACCAATCTGCAGATCGGGGCCTTTCTTCTTATGTAACTTGTCAATGGCAGTCAGGTCGGCAATTATCCCTGGGGAGATGACTGTTTAGGCAATGCCAGATCCCCTAACAGTATGTATTGGACAAGTATCTTACAAATATCACTCGTATTAGTAAACTTCCAATGATAGAGGCGATTTGAGGCAGCCTAGAGAACCACATAACTGCCTTAGCCACTCAATTATACCCTCTGTGGCGTGTACTAATTGCGGGAGCATATTAGTATAAAATAACAAATCTAGCTCTATTAATTTGAGGACCATTTATATCTGCAAATGCGGCTAACGAGTCCCGAACATACTTCACACTAGGCCCGCTGATTGGGCTAAAAAAACGATAGTTGATCGAGGCATGTCGATACGGCACTGGGTCCGAGAGCTAGAAAGGGAAATTGAAAGCCTAGTTTCGAGCTATGACTTTGGTGGAAAGAGCTATTACGTGTTTTAGTACCGATTTGTGCAGGGTCTGAAGAGTGTGACTGGATGCCCAAGATCGATTATACTTCATCAGCCTCGGCATTGATTGGCACCTTGGCTTTACTATAAAGCCGAGTTTATGCGACCCGCATCGGGAAGCTGCAGGCATCGGAACTATAACCATGGGATGCTGATCGGTAAGAATTTCCAGACCAGTTCCAGAAGTATTCTGGGTGTTTGTGGATCATTTAGCTTAGCTTCCAAGGTGTAGATATAGACGGAGTAACCTCGGGAATATTTAAGCGCATCGGTCCTGCTTAATAGAGGTAAAAATGCAATTATACCAACGGTAGCTCGGATAATGTCCTCCGTAATACTGATATCATTCAAGCTCAAACAGCTGAACGTCCCAATGAAATTTAACAAAGCCACATGGGAAAGCACGATGCAAGTGGGACCCGTCGTGATCTGATAGCCAGCCATTTTAGCACGTTCCACATCCCCCTCTCCACACTATGTTACGCTCATCCCCGACGTATTTTCGGTTTCTGGATATCATTATCATAGGTTCGAGTGTATATTTACTTTTTCTACATATAATTCTATCATCAATTATGCCACTTGTGTTCCTGGCCGATCTTTTTCAGACGGGATCCGCCCGATCGTATCTTCAACATTACCTATCCCTTGTATAAAACGAGAGAATGAACCCTTTTGCTCCTCGAGATTGCCAGGAGTGGGTAGATCGACGCCAAAGCTCCCATTCTGCCTCCACCGTGTCGTCCGCGTCAACGAGTATCCTCTTCCCGAGTCCTGCGACATCCCCAGGGTCCAGCTCGAGGAAGCAATCCTGGCAGTTCTACGATGAAGTCGTGCGACTCGAGCTGACCCCTTCTGTGCAAATGTTTGTGTCGAGAACATGGCTCCCTCCGGTGGGAATGCGCTGACTTGTCCACAGTTCGTTTGTCAAAAACGGCCAACTATTCAAGCTGAAATACAAATTCATTGATATTTGCAAGGACTCAACGGGCGCATTGAGGTGTCTTGAACTCGGAGGAGGATTGGGCCAGCAAACACCTTTTATCCATGGCTGTGAGTTGTGTCGCATATCTCCGAAAGATAAACATGCTGATCATTCAAATCATAGTCTCCAATACAAAACTGCCAGTCCCCCACCTAGAGCATCCAAAATCAGGCGACGATTACCCTCTTCGCGTGTCCTTTATGGACCAGCAAACGGTCCAAACGGGAAGCACGGTATTCATGACGCAGCTATCATATAAATTTGATCATTGGGATGGTACGCGACCAAGAAACCTTGGAGGATGAACATCCGCTTACATTCGCAGATTGCGTACGGTTTCAAGAACTGCTGCTCTGCTCCAAGTTGATCTTTATCGGTGGGATGGCCGAGGCCAAGTCTAAAGGCCGGGGTGAAGAGTGCATCAGCCAAAATCTTCGCATCCTCCGCGGGCATAACGGGAAGCGTGTAATGCTATTCTTCGCTAACTCGCAACGGAGGGAGCTCAAACGATACGTTTCCATACCCCGTGAGTTTCGGTTCCATCCGGTCACAGCGACCTTGCTAACAGCCCGACTAGTGAACTGTATCGGCTCAATTAAACCCCCGAAAAAGGCCGGGCGGCCAGCCCTACTGGATCTGAATCCGAACTTCGAGATTCTGTGTCAAATGCGGAATCTTACGATTCAGTTTCTTGACGATGATGGTCAGTGCACATTTGAGTTTCTTTCATTTCGGACTATTCGCTTATTCCTCTCTCTTTCCCAGACTGCGCAGCATTTTGTCAGATGTTGTCATACGACCTGACGATTGGATGAATCGTTCACGAGGACGGATATAAATCCCTCAATTGCTATGGATTTTACATGGAGTTGGAGTTCCTGGGCAGAGGGGCCGATATGTATCACATAATACCAAGATACCCCTGGGCGTTGCATATACCTTTTGAGACTAGAATTGCGTCTGGAATATAATGAAATATAATGAAAGAATTGAATAATTGAATAATTGAATGCAACATCAAGTGATTAATTAGAATAAATGGCTCAATTGGTAATAATAAAAGAACCATCTAATCTAAATTCGCCATGTCTCAAGGGAATCCTCGTGGGCTGGCCGTTGCATGTGGATCCGTCGTGTTGGCCACGGACAAGTCAAGCTCAAGAGACGCCGCACGTGGGGGGAACAACCCTAAAGCTTTGTCTTGCTCGCAGCTTAGCCCCACATTAGCGCCTGCAGGGATCACGGGCCTCCGACTGTATTTCGTTTGTAAACCCTTGGAAGCCCCCGGGTATAATCTAAGCATCTTCTGATCTTCTAAGAAAATGTAGGACTTTAACCATCTTTCAACTTTCTAATATTCACGATGGGCAAGTTCCACGCCCGGTTGTATAAAACCGACCGTGCCAGGGACTTCGACCATGAGCAGGTATGGAGTCTCGGAACAGCATGACATGCATGATGCAGGTTCCTAATAGTTCGGTTTTAGGATCGATATGTCCGCATGCGACAGATCTACGAGACTATCGACAGGCAAGGCTTTCAATGGATTGTCGTGCTGGTCGCCGGTCTTGGGTTCTTCCTCGATGGTTACACAGTGCGTTAGCCCCCCTGTCTCAGAGCAGATTGAAATGTTGTCGCAACGCATGAACGGCAACCGCTAATACTGGGAACAGTTATTTGCCAGTAACATGGCTTTACCGATGATCTCTTACGTATACTGGAGAGACAACACTTCCTCGTTACGACTCACATGTATCAATATCGCAACGCTTGGGGGAACCCTGCTGGGGCAAGTGGCGTTTGGATTTCTAGCCGACAAGAACGGGCGCAAGAAGATGTACGGTGTTGAATTGGTACTCCTCATTACAGCCACCCTGGGTGTGGTCATGTCTTCGACAGGCGTGGACGGAAGCATGAACGTCTTTGCATGGCTTATTTGGTGGAGAATCTGTGTCGGTATTGGAGTAGGCGCAGATTATCCACTCAGTGCAGTGATCACGTCTGAGTATGTCGATCGATCTCGAAATCTTCAATCGTGGAAAAACTGACCCTTGAAATATCAGATTTGCCCCTACCAAGCATCGCGCCCGCATGATGGCCACCGTCTTCTTCATGCAGCCACTCGGTCAGATTGCAGGCAACATCGTCTCACTGGTTGTTATCGCAGTGGCTCGTGCTAATAGCACTCCGGGTGAAGACATCACCCGCACTGTTGATATAATGTGGCGCTGGGTGATCGCCATCGGAGTCGTGCCCGGCGCAGTCGCTACTCTTTTCCGGTTCGCCATCCCAGAGAGCCCTCGCTACCTAGTCGATATCGTGGACGATCCCGTCACGGCGGAGTTTGATGCAACCACCCTTTTCAGTGACACGCCCGGTATGATTGATTCTGTGGGCTGGGGAAACAGTGCGACATGCAGTGCCGGTAGCGCCATTCAACTACCTCCGATTTCGTCCATTGCTAGCCGTTCGACTTTCGATAACGATGAAGATGATGACGAGTTCACCCGCCTACCCCCCGCTACCCTCAACTCTCACTGGCGGTTGGCACGGAGCGACATCATGCGATACTTCTGGACAGAAGGGAACTGGCGCAGCTTGGCTGGTTGCTCTCTCGCGTGGCTCCTCCTTGATTTTGGCTTCTACGGTATCGGATTGTCGAGCCCTCAATTCTTAGCAAAGACGTGGGGCCAGCTTCATATCTCCGCGGCGGCACCGAGCTGGATGACAGACGATTCACCAGACGCCGATATCTACACGATGTTCATGGAAACCTCAGTGCGCGGGCTGATTGTGCTCAATATCGGAAGTTTTGTCGGTGGCCTACTGCTTATTGTCTTCGCCCATAAGCTGGATCGCGTGGCACTGCAAAAGTACATGTTCCTCGCACTAGCGGCTCTGTTTATCACCCTGGGAACCATGTTCGTCTGTCTTTACTCCCTCCCTCCTGTTGTGGTGGCATTGTACATTGTTGGCCAAATCATGTTCAACTTTGGTAAGTCAAACCTGGGTTACGATGCACTAAATCATTCTAACCAAATACCCACAGGCCCCAATGCAACAACCTATATGATCCCCGCCGAGATCTTCCCAACCCGATACCGTGCAACCTGTCATGGCATCAGCGCTGGGGCTGGAAAGCTGGGTTCTATTCTCGTCCAAATCTTCTCAGCATATTATCACTTCGGCGCAGGGCCGGGTAACGCATCGACCCGCAAGCACGGCATTGTTCTCCTTGTTTTCAGCGCCTGCATGATCATCGGCGCAGCAGTCACGCACTTCTGGATTCCACCTATACAACGAAAACGGAATGGCAGAACTAAGCTTTGGGGTGGTAAGCCCGAGACTCTTGAGAGCATGTCTCTTGGCCGAATGGGGCGCAAGAGTCGAGATGCTGATTGTCGGAAACGGACATCACGGCATCGGGCGCTTTCAATGAGTGCTTAGGTATTGCTTTTCATTTATAATTAATTTTTCTGTATAAATTTTTGATTCCTTTTATTTTCGTTTGGTAGTCCCGGTTACGCGGTTACGTGGATATAAACCAATAGTTGCTGTTCGTCCACTGGAATGGACTTATAAACGCATCGAAATTCAAACTCAAAAGCAGTCACCATCAAGCAACCGCCCCGTAGCCACCGCGTCAAGGTAGAGCGCAACATCCACCCCGCCATCACTAACCCCACTATCCATCACCTGAAGACACCCGTCCATCTTAGGCATAACAGCGTGCACATAACGTGGCTTATCCCCACCCACAAAGTCAACCTCATACACCTGCAGCCGCAACCACGACGTAACAAGCGTATGCTCAGGCCCCAGAAACCCCTGCCACAGCCGCTGGGGCGACACCTCGTGCGCAGCATCATGCAACATCGCACCCACAGCATCAGCCGTAAACCGCTTCATGGTCTCTCGGATCCGACTAGCCGTCTCGCCTAATATTTCCTGACATATCGAGGAAGCGGTTCCACCAACATGGGTCAGGAACAACGGCGATCCGATGAACGTATCAGGAAGAGCGGGGGAAACACGCGGCCGTGTGCCGAGGCTCAAATCCATGTATATGGGTCTTGACGAGCTGGCTTGTCCGCGTGCTCGTGTAATGGCTATCCACAGGTGTGCGAGTAGAGCGTCCAGTCGAGAGATGTCATCTCGACTCCCTGTGTCGAGGGCTGCGGCTTGGAATTTGCTTACTTCTGCGCCTGTAAAGTGCAACTGTGTGTACCTGACTTCTTTGGAGAAATCCCATGAGCCCCAGGGTGCTGGCTCGGAGGGCGAGACTTGTTTGTAGTCGATTTCTGCGGGCGGCGGTTTGGAGTTCTCTGTCGTCGGTATCAAGAATGCCGGGTAGCCCTCGTCGCTGGTATCCCACCAGCTATACCGATGCAAGCGCAATTTGCGCGCGGTGTGTACGAGGGTTTGATCTGGCTCGGGGCTATCAATATCGCCCGCGGCGCAGTTATCCAGCAACGTCGGATCGAATACAGGCTCGCACATTAGCGGAGATTCGGGCTGGGTTCCAAATTGCTTTTTGCTGTTATGCGCCCATAGATGCACGCATACCATTAAAGTCTGTGCGTCCGCTAGACAGTGCGCCATCTTGATTCCGATCACGTAGCCTCCTTCCTGGAGGAGAGTGATTTGGACTTGCATCCCTGGCAGACCGGCATAGTCGCGCAGGTTGGCCAATGCCAGTGGGTTGGGTGATATGAAAAGTCTTTGGTCGAAGTCATCGCCTACCCATGCTCCGGGTTGAGAACCGGTGGTCGATGAAGCCCGTTCCTCCGCTGTGGGGACGATTTCGTCTACTCGGAAGGGATGCTCAATTACTGTCCATTCGACGCCCGGGTCGGTATCAGTTCCGTATACAATCAATGGACGATTGAAACGTTCTGTGTGGTTTCCTTTGGGGTTGACGGGTGCCCATTGGAGTTGGCCTGCCCATTGAGGGAATTTTGATAGGATTTCAATGAAGGAAGTTCGCAGGCGGTCGACCAAGGTCTTCTGATCTAGGTCTGCAGATTGGTTGAAAATCCAGATTGCTCCTGTTGGAGCAAAGCGCACGACTGTTGCGTCGAGGATGGACAAGGGTGTTGATGTCGGTGTTAGCTGGCTGGCTGATCGCAGCCTTGTGGACTCAATGGTGGTCATGTTGTCTGTGCACGGAATATCTGCTTGATGTCTGATATTTCAGACTAATCTCATTCATTTTATCTTTCTGAACTCATGAGTCAATATCTGTCACTGTGTGTCACTGCGCCACTATGCGTCGACCCCACGTCAAGCTCCTAGTTAAACTAATGAGCCGAAGTCCTACGATGGACAGAGTTCCATAAAATAATATATATCACCACTTTCAGATATGTTGTATATATTTTAGGGCATGTGATTACAATCAGGGGAACTCTCAGTGGGTTTAGACACCTGAGGCTTCCCGCTCAGAGTTCATGGCTGCCTGAATTTTATGTACCGCCTTCCGACCGGGTGCAACATAGAATTCTGCCATATATTCTGCCACTATAGTTAGATAGCTTCGTCGCCCGTAGATAGCAAGGATGGGAAAGTCAGGGGAGAAATAAGTACTTCGTACAACAATACGGGTCGGCGCTGCGATATGGAATATGACATGTCAATGCACGGAACGGAGTAATTCTAATCCCCGGGGTAGATATATATGCACACGGTATATGATCACGCACATACTCACGTCTAATCCCTCACTTCAACCCCATCTCTATTATCGAATACCACAACATGGCGTCTGAATCTCCAAGACCACCACGCCGCCAAGATTATACCTTTATATGTCATGGGTGTAACATTATCCTAAAACACGTCACACGCCTCTTCATAAAGTGGAATATATCGGGCCAGGACGCTGTATTGGTTGCGAGTTTAGTACTGAAGATGGATATCTCGTACGTATATAGTCAGACCATATGAGAATAGAGACTGATACTTGACAGATGAAAGTAGAAACCGAGGCAGAAATCACGAAACATCGGGAGGAGATAAAGAAGGAATTGTTGTGGGAGATGAGCCAGAATGCGGCAGCGGTCCGTCGGCGACAGCGCGAATTAGAAGGATTACATAGGCCACAGGCGACATGAAGCAAAAGAGTTATAAAGTGATAGCGATGAGAGTCATGAAATAAGAGAAGTAAAAGAAAACGTAGAAGTACGAGAGCGAAATAAGCGCGAAGGAAAAGCGAAGTAGACGCGAACAAAAAGACGCGGCCGCATAGTAAAAAGTCAAAATACACCACGCAGGTATAAAATTGTGTCAAGAATGGGATATGGCCCCTCTAGGCCCTAAACAAGAACCTTAGTTTTTGTTATGGTCTAGTGGTAAATTACGCTGCACGGATTTCGTCAAATTGAAATGTCTGTTTATAGATGATAACGAGGACTTCCAAAAGAAAGCAAGAGATAAGAGATAGCAAGTGGACAGCCAATGAGAAGCCCGCAGATAGAGACGTATGATGCGCTCCAAGACTACCCATAGAACCTCCTAAACCCAAACTAAGGCGGTGATTATCGTCAGTTAACTAGAGGTGATCCGAAAAGACCCATTGTCGTAGTGGCACGATTCGTCGCCACCCAAATTGAAATGATTCTGTCAGAACTACCCAACGAACTGCTACTAGCAGTAGCAGACAAGCTCAAATCATCGGGGGATATATTTGCACTTGCTCGAACAAAGACCAACCTACACAAACTGCTCATTCCATACCTTTTTCGATTCGATGCGGCACGACCCCAGAGCGATGCCTTATACTTCGCTGCAAGACTCAACCGAGAAAGTGTTTGTCGAAATGCGCTGCAAGCAGGCGCCAATCCCATGGCAAAGTACAACGGTGACACCGTACTGCATGTGGCAGCCGAGTTCGATCATGACCAGATAGCTAGACTCCTTCTTGCTATGCCTGGTGTCAACCCGAACTGCAAGGGCTACTACGGCCTCACACCGTTGGGGCTGGCGGTTACAGCGGGGAGTTTGAGAACTCTCCGGCTGCTTGTCGCTCACGACGGTGTCGATCCGCAGCCCGTCTACCAAGGCAAGACTCCACTCATTCAGGCGGTGATGTCCAAACGAGTCGATATAATGAGGATACTGCTCGCCGCCAAAGGGATTGATCCAGAAATTCCCGATCATGAGGGCATGTCGCCACTGATATGGGCGGTAATCACAAACGATGAAGAAGCGGTCAGGCTACTGCTCTCCATACCGGGTTTCAATGCAAACAGCCAGGATCACCGCGGCCTTACGCCCCTCATGCACGCAATCCAAACTGCGGGTGCGCGCGTCATCATGCTAATGGTTGTCCTAAACAAATCCGAGCTAGATCGGCCGATCCTCGGCAATAACCACCAGACGGCTTTGTTATTTGCCGTCAGACATGGAAGTATGGCATCGATGAAGATTCTTCTTGCTGCCGGTGTTGATGTCAATGCCAGAGATGATAAAGGGATTACTCCATTGGCATTAGCTGCAATTCGCAGGGATGAATACAAGGTTGCGCTGTTGCTCACTGTTAAGGGAGTCGACCCAAACCCCCACGATAAATATGGGCACTCGCCATACTCATGGGCACTACGTTCCGGAGACGAGAGCGTCTTGTATGTTCTCCGAGAGTATGCCAAACGGACGGGAATCACTTTGAAGGGAATGAAGACCCAGGAGGAGTGGGCTGCAGAGGGCGACGAACCATGGGATTTACACTCACGGCCTGTATATTCGATGTAAGAAGTTACAAATGGTTGATATATTCGATATAGAAAATTTGCCTAGCTGACAGAGTTTCCTCGGTCAATTTCATTGGTAAAGAGAACAGAGAATCCGGGCTTAATGAACCATAACGCCTTGCTTTATATACAATACACACTATGGTACAATTATAGATATTCTAGTCATCAGTTCTTCCAACCCAAAACCAACCATGCTACAATTAAAAATAAAAAGAGGGATGGTGGCACAAAACAAATGCACTTCTTGTCATGATGCCTCGGGACGTTTCAGTGGGTGCCCTCCAGCATTGAAAACAAATTCATCCAAACTAATCAGGTTTGGAGAGCTGAAGATGAGATAGAAATATTTGAGTGTCTGCGACATCCAAATGCTGTCCATCGAGTCTTTGAGGGTCAGTTCACTACCCTCATCCGTGACAGCAACGATCCCTGCATTCCCATTCTTCGTCTGCGTCGCACTTTGCATTGCCTGGAACATATCCCAAGCTGCATCGAGTAGATCCTCACGACCACTGATGCGGTAGAGAGTAAACATGCTCTCGATCGCTTCTGGGCGCAAGTTATAAGCAGTGTCCGGGATCCCAACGAATCCTTTGGGTAGATGGTGGTCTTTGATGAAAGTATCGACGTTGAGATTTGGATTTGGTTCTGGCTCGAGGCTGTTCGCCTTTTTCCAGACCTCCTGCTTCCAGTGCCACTCGTTCCATGGGCAGTTCTTTTGCGACGCACATGGAACCACATCAAAGGCTTCAGGCATTATCCCCAGCGGTATGACCCGGTGAGCCCAGATGCATCCATCGACCAGCCTATGGGCGATTTTTTGGTGCGTAGGGATGTTGAGTAAAGCGCCTCCTAGTGCAAACATACCCCCTGCAAAGCAAGATTGGTACTGCATTTGCGGCTCTAGGTGTGTTTGCTCATTCCCATTCTCTGTCATGGCTACTTGGACAGTGCCAGAAATGAGCACGTCCTTGCCCTCAAGGTTCATCGGTCGAAATAAAGTGTAGCCCGCGGCCGTGCGCGTAGCATTCTCGTACATCTTACGATACATGGGCACTTGGCCTCCTAGCAAAGCGTATGCCCGAGGTAACGACATGTACAGAGAGCTTGCTTCGGCGCCCAATGTGAAGACATCGTCGTCAAGAAGTTCTTCACTAGCATTCACACTGACAGGCCACATACCTGCGAGCTTGGTGGCGTCTTGTTGCTTGTCAAATAATTCCATGACTCGTTGGGCCGCGTCGAAGTATTTCGGGTCACCGGTGATCTGAGACAGCCTTGTGAATTCCAATGTGAACGAGCCTATTTCTGGACCGAGTGCACTTCCCTCTGCAAGCTGCTCCTCTCGGCGAGCACCTTTTTGCACATTCCAATGGATGATGGGCATTCTGTTCGGGGTATCAAAGGCAGCGTAAAGCATATCGCCCAGCTCGATGGACTTTTTCAGCAATTTCCGATCAGCGCTGAGATCAAATGCCGCTAGCAGGCCTCCGAGTAAATGGATGTTGACTTGATGGGTATTAATTTCAGGCGACTGTGCGTTTTCAAACTTGATATCCGTGACCACAGCCACGGCCTTTTTGAACTCATCGTGCATCCCCATAATCCACAGTGTGTCAAGGTTGTCAATTATCGTAGCACTCCATCCCCCCAATTTATTTTTGGGGCCACCGCTGAGAGGCGCAAGCTCATCTGCGCCCCAAGCAAGTGACTGATATGACTTCCAACATCGTTCAAAGGCTTCTTTCACGACCGACTGTCTGGTTGTTTGGCGGTCGATTTTGAGACGAGAGACTTCGGAGTCTGCCGGTTGAACCTTGGGGAGCGTCTGGGGCAGTGTAACAGGTAGTGGATGCAATTCAGCAACCGGGTATCGCACTGGTAGTTTTCTCCATAGATAGTTCGGGTTGATTTCAACATTCAGGGTGACTTTGGGTGCATCGTTTGTGCGGTGATAACGATAGAGCAGGAGCAATAGGAAAGCCCCGAGGCAAGCGCCTAGAACATGACGCCGGGCCCGACTCATGATGATTCCACGTTGTAATCACATCGACATAAACGGTGCAGGAAAGATATGGTCAACGTGGGTGACCGACAAAATCATCAAGGGAGGAAGGTGTCAAGGGAGTGACGAAAGGTTCCCCGCATTCCGAACACTGGAGGGGGCTGGAAGGAACTCAGGTCTCGTACGAAGAATGGAATTGGAATTTAAATTTGAGGATTTCGCGATGTGCCGTTCGAGGCGTTTCAAAGTTCCGAGTCGTATACGCTTTGTCCTCCTGCACTGTCCAGTCTATATTTATCTGTCTTTCTAGTGTCAAGCCTTAATATTCCAATTCCAAGGGAAATACTTCATATAGCTAAACTATCTGACATGGATTTGTTCAAATAGTTGAAGAATGTAAGACTTCTCATGCTCCACTCTGCTACAAACGGGAAATTGCCTCGGGTAGATTGTCCAAAATGTGAATTACGTCGAGTTCTGGGCCTGTATGGACCTGAGATAGTATTTAAACAGGGCCCCGTTCCGATTGTCGCATATATCAATAAAGGCCACAGTTCGCTCAAGCTAAACTATTCATTTGGACGTTCTTGAAACCATAGCCTCCATACAAACCGGCCAATCCACTCTTCAGTCATCATCAGAAGCGATAACAGTAGTCTCTACCGTGTAGCGACCTCACAAAAAGTGACAGGTGATAAGACTTATTTACTTTTATACCACCATAATGCGCCTCTGACTTCAAAGTCGTGGCCTTTCCGCTGTTGCTGTCAATCGCGGCTGTATACCTAGTCAAGGTATTGGAAGCAAGACGCCCGGCCAACCACACCCGACTTGCTCGTAATGACGACATCGGCACTGGCCTCGTAATCTGTCCATCCAGACGACCCGATGATCGCGAGCGTTGCTGAGCTTGGCACTGGCGCAAAGTTGTACTGGTTGTCAGCGATAGACCAGGTCCCATCAAAGTCAATCCATCCGGCCTAGTCAATGCCGGAGAAGTCGGATTTGTATGGGAGGCTCACAATGGGCGCTGCACCAGTTCGCAGGGTGCAATGCGAGTTCTAGTTGTTATCGTCTATGCTCGCTTCGGTTGTATACAGGACTGTCCCATTGGGTAGTAGCAGTAGGTTGGGACTGTAATTGCGGCCGCAGACATCTGTCGTTGGGGACGGTCCAGGGAGATGGAGCCCATGACTTTCATGATCGAGGACCAATTGAGAATGAATTTCTTCTCGTAGAGGATACCGATTCCCTGCTTGATGATGGTAATTTTCTCATGCCGGTCTCTCAGGGGTTCTCGGTTGAGAAGTAGTGTGCGCTGGTTGGTATTGACTGTTTGCTATGTTGCCAGGCAGCCCCGGAGCATAGACGATATGCCAGAAATTCGCAGGTCCGCCGTTTACAAAATAAAAATCAATCAATCAGGATCAAGAGCAAAATAATTGAAAGAGAGAAAAAAAAAGAAATCCTTGTGCATCATCCGTGAATCGAACACGGGCCTCGTCGATGGCAACGACGAATTCTACCACTAGACCAATGATGCTAGTTGATATATTACGATGCACTATTGTGTATGATATCCTTAATATCCTTATCAAAGAGCTTCCCAATTCGTAGCTGTTAGCCAAAGCAATAATCTAATTTCTCAGCTAAAAAACTGAAAACTTTGGAAAATCAATGCTTAACGGAGATAGAAACTTACTCGATAGCTTTAAATAACAATTTGGCGAACAGAAAACTGATTGGTGTATAGCATTGCCTACCAGGCAAAGAGCTCGAGTTGTATGTTGTATATATTTCAAATGACTAGCTGCAGACAACAAGCAAACATGTCTCATAGACAAAAACGGCCAACAACCATAAAAAATACCACGTCAAGGGTTGATTTATCCTATCCAAGTACCCACATCAGGATAACCCACCGTAAAACGTAAGTCGAGGTTTCCGTACTACAATAGGCCTTTTGGTCCAACGTTAAAGCAACTGAAATTTATATATCGACAACAGAAGGATCGAAAGAAAATAACAAGTTTAACACCAAGGGCTCAGTAGCCAGGGAACATTAGGCAGATCTCTGCGCCACTAGAAAAGTAAGTAAATAGACTGTTGTAGATGGTTGTAGATGGGGACCCCGGGAATGGCATAGCCGGGGTAAAACGCTATAGCCCCGCATTCAGCAGATCTGTACATACTAGGTATGCGTTGTCAATCAATATGCGGGGTACCAACAGGCGAAATAAGAAGTGAGGGGCTATTCCTCTTCTTTGTACTTCCTGTCAGACCCTAAATCGAATCAAACCAAATCAACAATCACCAAATTCAACATGACAAAATCCAATGACCTACCGCCATCGCGTGAGCGAGTTGTGCCAGGTTCATGCAACATCGAACCTGGCGAATTCCCCAAGACTATGTCGGAGTCTGAGCCGGATGTTCCCCTAGACCCGAATACTGTTGCAGATAGAATCATCAACCAGCTGAACTCGAGCCTCTCAGCCAGAGACAAGGCCGCCGTTGCATCACTGTTTCTCGAGAATTGCTACTGGCGTGACCACTTGTGCTATTCATGGGACTTCCACACCCTCGAGGGGAGTCAAGCTATCGCTGCCTTTGTCACCGAGGCACCGCCCAGCAAAATCGAAATCGACCGATCGTCTGACTTGAAATCCCCACATAAGGCTCCTATTGATTTCTTTGGTGATGTTTTCGGAATCGAATTTTACATCAAAGTCACTACCGAGAATGGACAGGGAAATGGTATTATAAGATTAGCGGAACATGAGGGCAACTGGTACATTTTCACCGTCTTCACTTCCCTGATTGAATCAAAGGGCTACAAGGAGAACAAGGAGAGACCATTCGGTGTCCGACACGGCGAGCAGCAAGGCCGAAAGAACTGGAGAGATCGACGTATTGATGAGATTAACTTTGAGGGAAAGGACCCTGTGGTATTGATCATTGGTATGTGTCGATGAAGCTTTTCCCTAGAAGTATAAAATCTGACTTGAGGAGGGAAGGTGCTGGCCAGGGTGGCTTGACTGCTGCGGCGCGTCTCAAGATGCTCGAGATCGACACCCTCGTCGTCGACCGAGAAAAAAGAATCGGAGACAACTGGCGTCGGCGATACCACCAACTCGTTCTCCACGACCCAGTGTGGTACGACCACATGCCCTACTTACCTTTCCCGGTAGACTGGCCCGTCTATACACCAAAGGATAAGCTAGCAGATTTCTTCGAAACCTACGTTAAGTTCAGAGAGCTTAATGTTTGGACCCAAACTGAGATCATATCTTCATCATGGGACGAGAACGAGAAGAAATGGACGGTTGTTCTCGAGCGCAAGACAGAAAACGGAACTGAGACGCGCACTTTGCACCCGCGGCACGTCATCCAAGCTACTGGCCACTCTGGCAAGAAAAACATGCCCGCTTTCAAAGGAATGGATGATTTCAAGGGAGATCGTTTGTGTCACAGCTCGGAGCATCCTGGCGCCAATGCCGACTCAAAGGGGAAAAAGGCCATTGTCATTGGATCTTGTAACTCGGCAAACGATATCGCCCAGGACTTTGTCGAGAAAGGGTACGATGTGACCATGGTGCAGCGAAGCTCTACCTGTGTGATATCGTCTGAATCTACTTTGGAAATTGCCTTCAAAGGGCTATATGACGCAACCGGCCCACCAACCGAGGACGCCGATCTTTATATGTGGAGCATGCCATCGCGTCTATTCAAAGCGCAACAGGTCAAAGTCACCAAGCTCATAAACCAGAACGATGCAAAGACCATTCAAGGATTGGAAAAGGCAGGCTTCAAGGTTGACAGCGGACCCTCGGACAGCGGTCTCCTAATGAAGTACTTCCAGCGTGGAGGCGGTTACTATATTGATGTCGGTGGAAGCCAGCTCATTATCGATGGGAAGGTCAAGGTGAAGCATGGCCAGGAAATTAGCCAAGTTCTTCCCCATGGACTCCGGTTTGAGGATGGCTCAGAGCTCGAAGCCGATGAAATCGTGTTCGCCACTGGGTATCAGAATATGAGAACCGAGACTCGTGTGATCTTTGGCGACAAGGTTGCTGACAGGGTTGGTGATATCTGGGGACTTGATAAAGAGGGTGAAATGCGGACTATCTGGCGGCGGAGTGGCCACCCTGGATTCTGGTTTATGGGTGGAAATCTCGCTCTTAGCAGATACTACTCGCGTCTACTGGCATTACAGATCAAAGCGCTGGAAGAGGGATTGACTACTTGGTAGTTACTAAGAAATGGGGACGTGCGCTTGCGATGACCTCGGCGACAAGAAGAATACTTGCCTATAGATGGACGCTGCAACCCAGTTTATGACAGTAATCCAGTATAAGCATCAGTAGCCGCAGTGCTTTTCATAATCCCAGATATCGCAAGTAACCCTTCATATCTAGAAACCGTTCAAGGTACATGCATGTTTTCACCGGCGATTAAGAACAATCAACCTAACCATCCTTCCTGAGAAGCCACTGAGACACCCAAATTTAACACAAGAGTGTACAACCAAGTCTCCAAATCCGCAGAGCCCTCAGAAATAGGTTCCGTCAACGTCATACAAGTCCGAAGATGGTCCAGGATCGAACTCTTCCTTACGAAAATCTCGAACCCGCCCCGATTCATCGTAGCAATGCGACTCTTTCGGCGTATCTTGCGGTCAATCGCCATAAGAATGAATTGTTCGTTATCTGGAGCGGCATTTCCATTTCCATTTGCAGGGAGTACCCGTTTCTCCCACTGCATAATCATCCGGGGCTGCTCAGGGCCGGCTGTGTTTTCCTCTTCTTTAATGATGAATCTGTAAAAAGTCCCTTTCTCAGTTCCTGCCGAGTTGGTACTGGATTGCCAGATACATTTTGTGTCGCGGAAGTGAATTGAGGATGTAGAGCTGATGCTGCTTGACGGTTGGCACATAGCAGCGACGATATCTTCTTCTTGGGTGTTTTTTGATTTTGTGTCTTCTTCTTTGGGATGCTCTTGTCCCATTGGCTGTTTATTGGTGATATATGGCTCATTGAGGGTTGCGTAGATATCTCTCGTGCCGAGCTTTGGGCGTTGAGGGAGACCTTTTGTCAATTTTGACTTGCGGAACGGTGGCTGCCATATCTCCAGTACAGGCACTGGTCGGTGGTTTGGAGGTAGTTGTTGAATTTGAAGGAGTAGTTTGGGGCTAAGTCGAAGTCGTTGACTTGATTTTGAGGGCGGCCGGGCTATTTGGAACTTGGCCTGGATTTTGGTGTTGACGGGTTGAGTCGATGGTCTGGAGTTGAATTAGACATAATTGCCAGTATAACGAAAGAATCTATATGCTTTTTTCTTCTCCGAAGTATTCTTACGTACCGTTCTTCGCTTGTTGTATCGCTATCATAGTTTGGAATAGTATCGGGAGATTCCATATTGCGTGTTTAGATTGAACGTCCAGAAAAACACAGGAAAGAAAAATGATAAAAAGGCAAAGAGCTGAGAGATGAGAGCTACAAAGACTCAAAGGAAACTTCTAGTATAAATACATGTAGCTAGCCAGCCTTGGCCCTCCCCGCTGTCCATGTCAATGTGCACGAGCCTGGGAAATAGGGTGGGACCGTCGAAACAGGAAACCAGCGCGAATACGGCTGGTTTATATCTAGAGAGACGAATATCTTGGCTGCCTGGGACATTTGAGACACACAGACAGAGTGTAAATCTGGTCGTAAACTCTACAGGCCAGGCATCTACAATTCCCTTTGCGAGATCGTTTCAAGCTCGAGTGATATCTTGAAGGCATTCCAATATTTATTCGCTACTCCATACCCCATACAGAATACGAAGTACGCATCTCGATAGGATTTGTGCACCGAAAGCCGTTCTGATGTTCGGTCTCGGCGTTTTTTCGATCCGTGCGCCCGACAGGGCAATTCACAGCCTCAACTTCTCCGGACACCCATAGCCACCCCCTAATGTCGGCTCAAACGTAAATGACTTCATAAAACAATCACAAAATGCTCCTGGATCCCCGAAAGACGGTCAAGAGTTCCTCCGACTTGATACGGAAGTTTGGAAGGCCAAGTTATGCGCAGCATAATTTTTAATGCAGACCATAAGTTGTGTGGAGTTGACCCCAATCCCCTCCACCCCAATATTGTATGGTCATATGGCGAGATTCGCGAACTCAAGCCGAGGAGTTGGGAAGTTTCGCGCTCTTTTGATTTACCGTTTTCTCCATCTGTGAGCCAGGACCAAGACTCGCCAATGTCTGGATCTGCATGATCATACGAATACGAGCAGCAGCAAAAGGGCTGGAAACACATCTCAGGCAAGAGAATCCATATCCAAGGCGGAATTGGTAAAGATACACTGGAGAACGAGACAAAACAGCCTACGTACGGAAAGCCCGTAGACCGCACAGACATGAGGAAAAATGACACCTTCTGGCTCCCAGGTTGTGTGTGCAGAGTATAACAGATGGTCAGGATGGCAAAGAACCATCTAAAGGCCCGATACCCCCAGACAAAAAGACCACACGCCGAAATCCACAGGCCTGAAAAGCCTAGCCGAACGCCTGAAACGCGACCGAAGCCTGTCCGCAAGGGCCGCACATAATCATATCCTGTCCACCATGTCCGCTATCTGGAACGCCCATGGGGGGCGATGAACCATAGCGATGGTAAATTCGGAGGGCGCGAGACAGCGAATCCGCTGGTAAATGGGGGCCTCCTTGATCTGACCTGTGTGGCTCTGTGCGATTCACCCCGTATAGGAGCAGGGGACTGATCTGACCATGTCTCCATGGATTCGAGAGGATATATAGCTTTGGAAAGCTCCGATTAGTCGCGACATCCCATCAGCCAAAGCTCGGAGCGATTTTCAGATCACACAATGGCTTCGTCTTGTAAAGATAGACTTTCTTTGATTTGATCAGAGCAATACTGTGAATATCAGATACAAATGCAAGCAAATCGGCTGCAAGGCAATAATTTCGAGATGACTCGCAAGCAGATCCAAGGGCCATCCCATACCATAAAAAACCATAATTTCGAGACAAAAAATTGTCCAAGCCACCATGGCCGACCGAATCAGAATACTCCTCCAAAGCATATGCCCAGTCCCGTGAAACCAGGCAAACTCATTCGCATCTCAGTGTTTGTTTGCTGAGAAGAACCCATCATTGTGACTCGATGTAACCCTGTGTAACGCCAGTTCTCCCCCGTGTAACATCCGTGTTCATTCCGTCAAATATCCATGTAATTCGTAAAAAGGTCGAGAAAAGGGACGAGAAAAGGAGAGAGGAGAGGTTACGAGCTCGCTGTATATTTTGTGTTGGTGTCTTCAGTGTAAGTGGTGTGGGGACGATAGTAGCTCGGCCCCGCTGGGGGATCTAATCAACAATGAAAGTCAGCGACATGAGCAGATCAAGAAATCACTAGAACATACAACGCGACTCAAGATCTCGTTCACCCCAGTATATCTGCCTCAGATTTTCGAATCCTCGAGCCCGTACCTCGGCCATGTAGACCTTCTGCTCGTAGCCTGGACTCCACGGGGTCTCTCCATCGGCGGGTTTGTAGTGCTTAAAGAGCGATGCTCCCAGTGCGGTTGCTCCGAGACAGGCGACAAGGACGATGACAATGATGGCTGCGTTGGAGAGCCCCATTGTGAATAGAATTGCAGAAGAAAGCTTGAGGAAGATTGGGGAATTGCAGTGTGCGAAGGCAGTTTGAATCGTAAGTGGCGGGTCAGTGCATGGTGGAGGAGGAAGCCTCCGCAAGCTGGGAACCGTAGATGTCTTGCGATGCTAGACAGACTAGCACACGGATGAAACGAGACAGATGAAGAGAGGGGGAGATGAAAGAAAGAACAAGAAAGAAAAAAAATATAAAGAACAAAACAAATAGACTTCTGAAGATTACAAGTCCTCGATACCTCGGATTTGGAATCTGATGTGTTGTCTCTATACATGATCATCCTATTGGCCATGTTTTCGACACATTCCAATGTTCAACTCTTGGACTCTTGGAACACTATCCACCAATCATTACATAGTTGTGTCGCATTTGATTGAAAACGCCCAAAAATAGCACTTACGTGGCTTCGGTATCGGGTCCATGGATTGAGTTTGAAGCTTGTCAGCGAGACTACATATTCATGACTTTTATTGGTCGCTTCAAGTGTACATGGAAATTTGGAAAAACATTTGAAGTTCGGTATACAAAGTCCGAGGGAATAAAGAATAAAGAAAAAGGCCCAACATCAGAGGAAACAAAAAACGAAAGACCAAAGGTTTGCATCAAAACATTTATTAGCATAATAATCCGCTACTAACACGTACGTACATTCCGATGATACTTTTGTGATCTGGCTAGTCATCAGTGTCTAGTTATGTACATGGATGCTCCTTACGTCAACTTGTATTCTTCGAGTATAGATCGCCAAGAGACATAGTACTTGTCAGCAACTTGACTATCGCTCTTTATTTCCTCTATCGGCTATATCAAACTGTCTATTTGATCCAACCTAGGGTTAGATGTTGATTTAGAGTCCGAAATTAACAGTTCCCGCATACTTAAGAAATCAGAGAATGCCGTTCTCTTATTGGTCCTTGGGGTCTCATATAAAATAAGATCTACGTTGTTTAAACGAAACAAGTTTTGATCCGACTAAAAAACCTCACAACTAGAGCACCAGGCGGGAATACTCTAACAACCATATCACGCTTGAAGAAAGATATTATTAATCATCTAGAAAAATTGGATATGGAAGTTAGTCAAGCGAATCAAGGTAGCCCTGGAGGTTTCAGACATCCTCAATATCGAACCGAAGGTTATATTCACTCCAGTCTTCGCCGGTATGAGATGTCACGACAAAACAAAGGCGGCGACAACTTACCAACTGGAATACCAAGAATACCGCAAAACTGGCAACGAAGACTCCCTAGGCGGAAAGTCAAGCCCCTCCCGGGATTTGTCAGGGATGGTAGTAGTAAAAATAACATACTTTAGGCTTTCCAAGGGAAAACGCTCATAGAAAGCCTTGGCAAACTCAGATATATAAAAGTTAACGGTGATCTCCCGTCTGTGGGGAGAGGTTGGTCGGCAGTATACAAAATCATTATGACAATCCACAGACCGTATCAAATTCAAATATAGTCATCGTTTTCTAAACCATCTCCTATCGCCGCTCAGTCTTCGCGGAACGTATGCTTGCTTGCCCGAGCAGATAAGGGGTAGCTGTGGTTGTGCTGTTTCGCTAAACATATAAGGTTGCGACTTATCCTCGGGTTTGTAATCGTGGATCGGAGGCATGTCACCTGTATGTGGTAGTAGCCGGCTCTTCAGACGGTTGGGGCTTTTGCTTAGCTCGGTGATGGTGTGTGGAGGCTTCAGTCTTGCCTACCTTCTCTGAAAATGTGTAGGGAGGTGTCGTCTCGGTCGAGATGGTAGTTCGTGTGCTGCTGGTGTGTTCACTCAGGATATGCTGCCTGCACTCGTCATGTTGATATGATGAGCTGCACATTTCACAGTAGAGTCCTGCGAGCCTAGGAATTTGGACTTCCGAGCCGTGTCGGAGGAAGAGCTCGACAGCCCCCAAGGTTGCACCTCGATCCATATCATATTCTCGCTTGATATGGGCCCCCGGGGGGGATAGGACTTTCCAACGTGATTGTGATTCGACTCGCTGAGGGAGGAGCAGGGGTTTTTAGATCGCTAAACGATTTTGGGCACGACGGAGACAGACCAGTGAGGCCGTCATGATTGTAAAGTCTCTCGAACATTCGTCACCTGGAGATGGTATTTAAGCTGGATAACCGGCGCGTTATCGTACTGATAGCTGACAAGCACTGCTTGGTAACTTGAGTTGAGTGAGTTGGGAATGCTCTCCAAAGCCTGGTGTTCTGATGTGAGGTGACGATGTCACCTCGCGGAGACACATCAATGCGATGGCCATCTTGACGACGAATAGTTGCAATTCTAGTATACCATGAAGGCAAGATGAGAGCTAGTTAACATCAGATCTGGTGATCATGATGCTATCTAAAGTGAGAGGTTAGACAGCCAAGAAGCCTCAGTGTACCTACAATATAAAACGAAAGCCTAGAGTCATGAGACACGCACCTGCCCCCCAAAGCCTGACATTTTGACCAGACAGACAGATACCTGTAATGTATATAGCATTGTACTTATCTCTCAGTTGCTCTCTAGTGCAAGTGTTAAGTGAGGTTATTACTTATTTGCAAGTTCTACAACGAAGACGATCCAAGCTGGCATCTACGCACGAAGGCCTAGACCCTGAAGCAATGGAGTCTTGGTCTGGTTACCAACATCGAGGCTGGATAGTCGACTAGTCCCTTTTCGGTAGCTCCTGCCATTCTCAATTGAAAGTGATCAATGGGCTCAATAGGCTCAATAGTCAGCCCTGGGGGACAATAGGTTGCTACTAGTCCCTTTCTGGGCTACTTTCTGGGCTACTAGTCCTTTTCTGGCAGTCGCCACTTCCTAAAACGTGAGTACAATGGGGGATACACGTGCCATTGTGCCCATTGTGTCCATCGTTCCTTCCCTTTTGGGCAGGCACCTTCCGTTTGAGCCCCCAGGGACCTCCCAGGATTTCCTATAAAGCCTCCCCTCCCCTCACTTTTCTCTTTCCTTCTTCTCTCTCTCTTCTCTCCCCAAGTTACCAACACACTTTCCAACAGCGCCCCCTGCGCTGTGACCTTTCTGCTTCCCCCGCGTCCTCGGCCTCGCCGGCCTTTATTTTTCAATTTTATTTTAAAAAAAGTAATTACTTCTATCTCAGACTCCTTCTGTTGACACAACTGCTAATCTTTTTGTCTTCCCTGTGCAGAAAAAAAATAATTTTCAACATGTTGATTCCCTTCTTGGGGATCTTCGTGGGCATGACTCTCTGGAGTCAGTGGTTCCCTATCCCGGGTTTCACTGTTCCAGGGCAGTCGTTCGTGCGGCGTCTGTCTGGTACGTTCCAGCTGACGATGGAATCTTGGGCCTTCTGTGACGTGGTGAACGCTGTCGCCTCCGAGTGCGGACACGCTTCCCGGCGCGAGCATCCTGAATGGGAGTCGCGCTCTCACGTTGGCCATGGGTATTCAAACTCGACGGACATGGTTCTTTTCCTTGGTACGGATATCAGCGTCCGGCGTGAGCTGGTCGATGATATGCCGTCCTGGTTTCCAACCCCGTTCCTGGTACCCATCCCGGTTTCCTCTTGGTCAAGCGACGGAGTGACATCTTCTGATCCCAAGGAGTTTGTCGACATCCACTCGCCTAGGTCCAAGCCCGGGCAAGGTTTCATCGCCACGTTGTTGTTTATCGCTATATGGTGCTTCGTCCAAATCCCCTGGGCTTTGATTGCTTACTCACGGCAATTGTTCTCCGGTCTTGAAACCTTGATTGAGTGGACTCTGAAGGTTCTCGAGGGCCAACCGCAGATTGCACGTGTGCAATTTGTGGCCGAGGATGATTCATCTTCCTTTGACAGGGAGATGGATCGTCTGCTCGCGGGCCCGACGGAAACGGATGAGGAAATTCTTGCTTGGGTCATGGCTGCAGACAGTTGTCCCGAGTCTGTGTCTCATGTGTCGGTTCTCTCTCTGTTTGCCGGTATCTGGGTCCACCGGATCACCAAAGGCCTGGGAGATGAGCCGTCACTGGACCCGGAATCGGCCTGCGATTCCATTATACCGGTTAACACTACGGATGACGCTCGCACGAACTTGGTTTCTCGGCACCCTTGGAACTCGAGTGATATCTACGCCTCCGACCAGTCCGATTCTGAGGCTCCGGCTGCGGAATCGACTGGAAACGGTGCGGAAGATGAGCGTCCTGTTTCCACCCCGCGGTACTACAGGAGGAAATGCCGTCCGTCGCAAGCAAAGAGACGTCGCGATGCAAAGAAAGCACAACAGGAAAAGAAGGAACTAAAACATTCCAATGTTTTAGCCTCTTACGCTTCCAGTGCTTCTCTTGCGATGTCTTCGAGCTCGACGCCTTTGTCGGCTGTGGCTCCGGTCTTCGTTCCTGGCCGTCTGGAGGAGCAGGGTGATCCGCAGAGTGGTCCTCTCTCTCCAACCCCCTTGTTCGCGAATGTGGGCATTGATACTCCTACGGACTGTGGTACGACTTCGCCCAATGACGCCCTTCCCCAGCAGTCCCGCCACCGTCGCCGTCGACAGCGTCCTGCCTAGACGCTTCGGTGAAGTTGGGACATGTACCAGCAGCAAAAGTGTCTGAGTGGGACACCTCGAAGGAACTCCTCTCTTCGGAGGGTTGTTTAGGTCCTTCTTGGCTGTCCTGCAGCGCTTTTGTTTGCTGGTACAATGCTGTGTTGGGGCCGCGTTGAGCGTCCTCAGAAGCTTTTCGTATGGTGTTTGGGTTGGAGATTGAGTTGACTGACCAATATGCAAGGAAAAAAAAAAAAAAAAACCAAAAAAACCAAAAAAAGAGACAGTGAGAAAAAAATGATGACAATCAGCAAAAAAAAGATCTGCTCTCACCTCACTCTCACTTCATTTCTCACCTTCACTTAAGGTGAGAGATCTCTCTTGCGACACGTCGCTTTTGGGATTTGTCCATTCTATTTCTGTTCTTCGGCCCTCGACCACGGCCACCCTTACAAAATATTCCTTCGCTGTGCCTCATTCTCCAATTGAGGCTCAGTCCAAGGGCACGACCATTACATCGAAGAACAGAAGTCGCATCGGTCAATCCTTATCCACGGCGAGCCGACTGCATCCTTAGTCGACCATCTTACCCTCTTCAAGTTTATCATCATCTTCTCTCCAGTGTCGTTCGCCCTCGGCTGCATCAACAATCAAACGGACTCTCGTACGATCGGGCTGTTCATGACCTTCTGGAGAGATGCTCGATTAAAAACACATCTTGATCGTCTTTCGCATGCCTTCAAATCCAATCCTGTTGGGTTCACATCGACTATCTGTGAACACTATTCCATGTACTACATTCCTCGCCACAGCCTCTTGGTAACGAGGTCTTGGCTGAGTTCGTTCCTTCATTCTTTTGCAGGACAACAATCACCGAACCTGCCTTTCCATACTCCAACCACTTGACCCCACGGTCATTCATGTGCATCCATCATTCAACCGACATGAAAACAGTCGGTTTTCCCAAACGGATCAGTCTTTGATTACCTGGGAAAGGAAAGACTTCCACTGAGCTTACGGGACGGCTTCAGTTGGAAAATTGGGAGAAAACTAAACAATTTGATCTCAACTTACCATAACCACACCACCTGCCGGTCAACTCAGGTTGAGCGGTTCTTCGCCGGGCTATGGGACAAGCCTTGGCTGGATCAAGAACGCCATGACCATCTATCGGACCGTTGATTTCCAGCATGCTTCTACGCCAATCCAACAAAATCAAGAGAGGATCATTCACTCAATTCCGATTCAATTACCTTTGTTTTTTCTCTCCGCGGGCCTTGAAACAGGTCTCTGGACGAGCCTCTTGACGTCCATCATCAATTTTGCTCGATACGTTTCCTTCAGACCTTGGAATAGGTCTCCTGGACAGACATTCCGACAACCTTCGGGACCACCTTCATCCTCCTCGGGCATCCAAGAAAAGAAGCCCTTGAGTAGGAACCTACAAAAACAACTATCATTTCGAAGAAAGAAGAAAATCCTGGTATTATATGGTCGTCCCCACTTTGTATTTCCATTTACTGACTGTTAGCTTTTCCAGGGTCCGTGACTCCTTCCATCGATTCATCAGTGCTCCCAGCGTTTCCTTTCTTACCGGTTAAACTCCGGCTTTGGTGTATGGTCTACGGATCATGATGGGATATGAAACATGGGACATGGTACAAGGGGATATTAAAACTGGGATGAGCATGCGCGTTGTGTGGGTTCCTTGTGTTTTGTTTGTACAGATCTTTTCTTGTTGTTTCAGTGATACCCCACAAAGCATAGCCTTTTTGTTGTTGATTTTTGATTGTCTTTTCTTCACCTCGGTCAACTCAATAATATTGTTCCGTTGTGATTATTCTTGATCTTGTAGTCCTGTTCAAAAGCAGCTGTGCTCTAATGGTGGTAGATCTTAAGAGGGAAAGGAAACATGCAGTTGAAGCTGGCAGGATCGACTCAGCACAGGCTTTTCTCTAAAGACCCTTTTTGTATAGAGGAATGATCTACTGATACTATGGCGATGGCTTTTTCGAGTGGCGAAAGGGCTAACGGCAGAAATAATTATCTTCAATATGTAAATTGTCTTAAAAGAATTCAGCACTACAGCCAGACAAAGCTACTATTAGATGTTAACAAAATGGCAAAGCCGATTGCTGATGGGGAGACAGTCAGGCCGCCAGCTAAAGATTATACTGACAACATCGACAAAGTGGGATCGGGTTCCGACCACCTTGACTAACAGCATCAATGCTTGTTGTCCTCACAGCATTAACAAGAGACTGGAGATCTGCAAGAACCATTCTCGTCATGCAAGCGAGGCTCGGACCCAGTGCTGTCTGATTCCTCATGGAAAAACTAATATGGTCCAACCGGCGTCTGTGGCTCTAAACCCCCTACGCAAACGATAGGATTGGAGCAATCACACCGAACGAGGAGAACTTAACCGAGT